CCCCCCCCGACCCCCCACCACACACACAAGCACTTATGATTCGTGTAAAAGTTATGATATTTTTGTTGGGTTTTGTTTTTTAATCTGATTCATAATTCAGGAATTGTGGGGTGAGCAGCTGTGCACCTTTTGAGTACAATGAAATCAAAATACAACTCGAAATATGTACTGTCTAGTGTGTTTGTTTTGTTGAGTTAATATGTACTGTCTAGTGTGTTTGTTTTGTTGAGTTAATATTTACTGTCTAGCGAGTTTGTTTTGTTGAGTTAATATGTACTGTCTAGTGTGTTTGTTTTGTTGAGTTAATATGTACTGTCTAGTGTGTTTGTTTTGTTGAGTTAATATGTACTGTCTAGTGTGTTTGTTTTGTTGAGTTAATATGTACTGTCTAGTGTGTTTGTTTTGTTGAGTTAATATGTACTGTCTAGTGTGTTTGTTTTGTTGAGTTTCGCGCTAAAGTACTCGAGAGGTATCTCCGTTAGTCTAGTGTTGAATTGATAAACTAGAGGAAAGGCGGATAGTCAACAGCACCCACCGCCAACTCTTAGGTTACTCTCGTTAGACCGAACAGTGGAATTTAATCGTTATGTTTATAACGCTTCCATAAAGTGCCGAGTGCGATTTTTGTTATCAGTAACGAGATTCGAACCACGTTTCCTCTGATCTACAGTCTGGAACGCTCACCACTGGGCAGCGCTCAGACCACTTACTCTCTCTTTCTGTAACACTAAAAGTATCCTCAGCCCTGAAGTTACCGACTTGTATTTACTCCATACTGCACCATATTGAGTAATATTGCCATTTTCCTTGTTACAACCGCCAGAGGGTGAAATCATTTATTTTCTATTACTATAAAATACACATGGAGTCTCTATCAGAAATTACTGGGATTAATTTCAGTACTGATGATATTTTTGTTAACAAAAACTGGCGTGACTGCCATATCGATAAGAAACCATGTAACCAACAAAGTTATGGCCCCATAAACAATCTGGTACATAATGAGCTAAGAAACATTTGTTTAAAAAAAGCTGTATAGACCCCATCGGTAACTCTGGGGTTAACATCACGTCATCATATAATGTCTTATCAAATCAACCATCAATCCCCAGCTCGCAGACAAAGATGTTCTACCCAACTTATGCTAAGGTGTAAAAGTTTTAATGTTATTTTCATTTGATTTAGTATTTCCGCACTTACTTTTATTCGGATTATTAGGTGGTTTTTAATGATTCGTTGTGTGTTTGTATTTGTTTGTTTTCAATTTTGCGCGGGCTATCTGCGCTAGCCGTCTCTAATTTAGCAGTGTAAGACTAGAGGGAAGGCAACTAGTCTAACACTTGTGCGGGTAAAAATGTTGAACTACAAACACACGGCCCGGCATGGCCAGGTGGTTAGGGCGCTCGACTCGCAATCTGCGGGTCGCGGGTTCGAATCCCCATCCCACCAAACATGCTCGCCTTTTCAGCCGTGAGGGCGTTATAATGTGACGGTCAATCCCACTATTCGTTGGTAAAAGAGTAGCCCAAGAGTTGGCGGTGAGTGGTGCTCCCACTCTGAATGTTTTACTTTAAGAAAGACCACCTCGTCATATTTATATCTAAACCACGGTTCAGCTTAGATTATTTATCAACTTATAAACGAATTGCTTTGATAACCCCAGACTACTTCGTTTTCAATGCGTAGGATCCAGTATTGTTTTGAATATTCCTAAGGTATAAGAAGGGTACATTCTATCCTGTGTTACTAATATACACTTACTGTGTTGTTGTTTCTTCTAGGTAAAGCACGAGTGTGAATTCTATCTTGTAATACTAATATACACCTACTGTATTGTTGTTGTTTTTTCTAGGTAAAGCACGTGTGTGAATTCTATCTTGTAATACTAATATACACCTACTGTGTTGTTGTTTCTTCTAGGTAAAGCACGAGTGTGAATTCTATCTTGTAATACTAATATACACCTACTGTGTTGTTGTTGTTTCTTCTAGGTAAAGCACGTGTGTGAATTCTATCCTGTGTTACTAATATACACCTGCTGAGTTGTTGTTATTTCTTCTAGCTAAAGCACGTGTGTGAATTCTATCCTGTGTTACTAATATAAACCTACTGTGTTTTTTTCTAGCTAAAGCACGTATGTGAATTCTATCCTGTGTTACTGATATAAATCCACTGTGTTGTTGTTTCGTCTAGGTAAAGCACGTATGTAAATTCTATCCTGTAATACTAATATACACCTACTGTGTTGTTGTTGTTTCGTCTAGGTAAAGCACGTGTGTGAATTCTATCCTGTGTTACTAATATAAATCCACTGTGTTGTTGTTTCTTCTAGCTAAAGCACGTGTGTGAATTCTATCCTGTGTTACTAATATAAATCCACTGTGTTGTTGTTTCTTCTAGCTAAAGCACGCGTGTGAATTATATCCTATGTTACTAATGCCTACGCACAGAAGTTATATGGATTTTCTCCTCACTTCGTATGTTTGCTACCAGTTCAATCTCCCTCTGCCTGTCATCGCTGCAGGTCTGGGTAAGTCTCACGTTTTTTTCTTGTTTTTGATTTTTTGAACATCAAAAGAAAACCTTGCAGGGAGCCTTCACGTTCCAGAAGATAATCCAACTAGATCCAGTTTATTTTATATGTTAAGTGATAACAGTAGTAAAAAGATGGCCATACACCACAAAGAGCTATTTCTGAAGATTGTGTGGTGTGTGTAAACTGTGGGATGCACCTCCTAGGGGTGGGGATAGAGAGTCGGTAGGGGAGGCGTGCCACTATGGCTAAATATAAGTTATACCTTAAAGTACAGATTTAAAATTCAGCCAAGAGTGGATCTCATCTTATCCCAAAATCAAGCTCATTCTTCACACTAAATTGGTGAGTAAACTGAAACTGTTTTCCTTATACTATGTACCATTTTAAGCCTTGTTTTATTTTTACATGACGTGCAGGGAGTGGGCAACAAAACTCGTGTTTAGAAAGAGGGTACCACTGTATAACACCACCATCAACAACTGTTGACTGTGATTGACGTGAACATGTTATTAAAGTTACCGTACAACACCACCATCAACAAGTGTTGACTATGATTGACTTGAACAAGTTATTACAGTTACTGTATAGCACCACCATTAACAAGTGTTGACTATGATTGACTTGAACAAGTTATTAAAGTTACTGTATAGCACCACCATCAACAAGTGTTGACTGTCATTGACTTGAACAAGTTATTAAACTTAGGATAATTTTTCAGTTTCAAAGAAAACTTGTAATAAGAGAAATAACATGTACAGGATGAAGTGTGACTGTTAGTTTTCTTGGAAGAAACGAAAACCGTGTTTTTCCGATACAGGTAGTTTGACAAGTACTTGGTTCGTGACTGGACTAAGCCATATATGACGTCACCGTCATTCTTATAAGATATATTTTATATGATCTGCGATTGTAATGATTTACAGATAATGTAAATCGTCACTTTCACAAGTCGTATGATTGGACTAAACCATAGATGATGCAATCGTCAATCTTATAAGAAATATTTTAGATAGTCTATGATTGGATGAAATCGTATAGACGACGTCAACGTCACTCTTATAAGACACATTTTACATGGTCTGTGGTGGACTGAAGCACACGTGCTTTAAGTACTTACTTGTGACGTTTATATAGTATTATCGTTATGGAATAAATACACCCTTACATACACAATTACTTTAGGTATTACATTAATATTTACTAATCATTATTACTTATGTCATATATTATGATTACATCCTTTAAGTTTTTATTCTAACGTGGCCATGTTTAGATTTCCTTGGTCTACAATTCCTCAGCAAACTCTTGAGAAACTCTGGGGCGTTCTTCATCAGGCGTAGCTTTGGAGAAGACAGATTGTACTGGGCTGTCTTTACAGAATACGTTCAAAGCCTACTCTTAGGGGGCGAGGCTCCTCTGGAGTTTTTCTTGGAAGGTACACGCAGTAGGACAGCCAAATCCTTGAATCCCAAACTTGGTAAGTTAACTTGTTAACTTGGTTTGATCCATGGATTTTTATATATATCAAATGTTATTAGTTGCTTATAGTTTTCAGTGGGTTGACAGGAATATCTTACAAACACAGATACGGCCTGGTACAAGTTATTAAACACTTATATATACGTACGTCGTCGTAATTTCAAAGTGAACAAGCTCCTATTTTGGCTCCATGCTGTTACCTAGAATTACATTTGATGGAGCCAAAATAAGGGTTTGTAGTTTGAGTAAATAATGTCTACAGTATCTCCAGCCTTGTTTCTTTACATTTTATGATCCCTATTTGCAGATTTTTAAGTTCTCAATTTTTTATTTATCTTTGGTTTTTTATGGTCAACTATGGGCAAAAGATCGCTTGATATGGTAGCTAATCTTATACATCGTAATGATAATAAACATAGCTAGTATCTAGTTGGTACAGTTCATGATGATTTACTGTAGCTATTGATTATTTGATCGCATTAGTTCGAGATGTAAAATGATAAACTGCAGCTGGAGATTGCCATGGAGATTTGTTTGAGAATATAGTGAGCATTTATGGTTTCCGTGTAACTAAATGCTCTATATATGAAAGCATAGCATCGCTTTAAATAAACCTCCTTGTCTTTTAGGGTAATTATTCTACGAATGTGTTTAATAAAATTTAATATTATGTGTATTGATTTTTTTTATTTCTTCACTTCATACATAATATAGGGGTTGGCTCCATAAAGACATCAATTGTATAGTGTACAAAGCATTGAGTATCTACATGTTACATTCATCTATGTTCGTCTATTACTGGCTGGTAATTCCTATTTCACCCTGTATGTAAACTTCTTAATTGAACAACAATTTATGTACAAAAGCTAACTTCAAGGGGTAATGATAACATCGTTTACACTAGAATTATGATGTTTTTTAGCTTATGTAAAATATAGAAGAAACAAATCTACTTTTCAACACCCCTATGACCTTCACAGTACCTTATCTAGTATTCTACAAAAGGTTTGGGTGCAATATACCGAACCGTTTCTGCTGTAGGCTGGCAAGAGAATAATAATAAGAATTACAAACGAGCCGTTTTGAGCGGATTTTCTTTTCCTTGTAAGTCTAACACGTGTGCTTTATGTGCATTTTTATATGTGTACAGCCTTAGCAGTCAGTAGTAAAAGTTTTAAAGTGTTGTTTGAACCGGATCTTTACTGTTTAAAGTGATTTTTGTCTGAACATTCTGTTAGGGTTTTGTGCGATCCCTATTAGGAACCACAATAGTGGTTCACGACATACGAGTTTGATTTTTCACCACCTCATCTGGACTTAATTATCTTGTTGCTGATACTGATTACACGAGGATTATCACTTAGAAAATTTTAATATATGTGAAATGGATAAACATAAAAATATATCAAAATATTAAACTCTTGAGATTAGGCAATATTGAAGACATATTGATTTTCGCTCCAATTTGTGAACACATTCAGGAATTAACACAATCCCACCCCCATTGGCGTAGCGATAAATCTCAAGACCGGGTTTCGATACCCGTGGCTAGTACAGATAGTCCAATGAGTATCTTTGTGGTTAACAACAAACAAACACAACAACAATATAGTTTGGTATATATCGTACTAACATAATAAACAACAAACAAACATAACAACAATATAGTTTGGTATATATCGCACTAAACAACAAACAAACACAACAACAATATAGTTTGGTATATATCGCACTAAACAGCAAACAAACACAACAACAATATACTTTGGTATATATCGCACTAAACAACAAACAAACACAACAACAATATAGTTTGGTATATATCGCACTAACATAATAAACAACAAACAAACATAACAACAATATAGTTTGGTATATATCGCACTAAACAACAAACAAACACAACAACAATATAGTTTGGTATATATTGTACTAAACAACAAACAAATACAACAACAATATTGTTTGGTATATATCGTACTAACATAATAAACAACAAACAAACACAACAACAATATAGTTTGGTATATATCGTACTAAACAACAAACTTATTAAGAATATATTTTACATTGCACCAGTACATTATTTTACATTTCATATTTTATAATGGTTTTGACGCAACATAGTTTTTTAGTACATACTGTGTTCCACCCCCACCCTCAACTGCTATTGACATAGTGTTATCTCGTGGCACATTCTCCTAATTACTAGACTTTACCGACTCCCATTGTATGACACCAGGGAAATTTCACACATCAGTGAAAGCAAACTTTATCATTTCCCTTTAAGTTTATTATTTATCAAAATAAACAACGTATTTTGTATGCGATGCCAAGGAACCGCGAATCACGTTACGAAAGTTAAGAAAAGCAATTTAAACACTGTATATTAAAAATCCGTCCAAAAGAAAAAAAAACCAAACTTATTTTGCTCCCTCGCGAAAGCGTGGGATCTGGCATGTCTTGGTTGTTAGGGCGCTTGACTCAGAACCTGCGGATTGCGGGTTTAAATTCCCGTCGCCAAGCTATGTGGAATTTATAATGTGACGGCCAATCCCACTATTCGTTGGTAAAACAGAAGCATAAGAGTTGGCGTTGGGTGTTGTTGTTTTACTAGCTGCCTTCCCTCTAGTCTTTCACAGCTAAATTAGGGACAGTTACCTGGAGAAGAAGTGGGCGCCACCAAGTACATCTTCCCTAGAATAACCAATGGTGTAACAGTCTTTCACATCTAAATTAGGGACAGTTACCTGGAGAAGAGATGGGCGCCACCAAGTACATCTTCCCTAGAATAACCAATGGTGTAACAGCATTAGGGACAGTAACCTGGAGAAGAGATGGGCAGTACATCTTCCCTAGAATAACCAATGGTGTAACAGCATCTAAGGTTGTAGCGGCCTTGCGATTCAAAAGAAGAAAAAGGTAGCGCAATAGACATTATTATTCTACGTCGTATTTTTATTACGTATGATATTCATGTAGATCTTTACTACTCAACATGCAAGTAGCATTTAAAGAAATGTATTTATAATGAATTGATTTTCTAGAACAATATAATCCAGTGATTGGGTGTAAACTACTTACATTTATCACAAGAAAGACGTAGCTATATAACCTCGAGATTAGGCCTAAAAGCCGCTACATTTGATAAAAGAAAGACGTAGATATATAACACCGATACTTGGTTTAAACTCGATACATTTATCACAAGAAAGACGTAGATATATATAACCTCGAGATTAGGCCTAAAACCGCTACATTTGTTAAAAGAAAGACGTAGATATATAACCCCGATACTTGGTTTAAACTTGTTACATATATCACAAGAATGACATAGCTATATAATCTCAAGATTAGGCCTGAAAGTCGTTACATTTGTCACAAGAAAGACGTAGACATATTTCGCTATCAACTTTAATGCAATGGTGTTTTCTGATTTACCTTCAAGTAATCGGGTAGAAGCGGCAAAATAACTGCCAGGAAATATTTTGCGAAGCGAGATCTGAATTCTTTAAAACTCGACTGAGCGTATTATAAAGAAAAAACGTGGACCTAACGTAACATACAGTGAAACAACCTTTATTTTCAATAATGACGAACATAATAAGGATTTTTAAGGGTAAGTGAATTTTAGCACCTATGCTGGAAATGATCTGTACATGTTTCAATCTTCCCTATCATTTTGTTCCAGACTGAGAAAACATGGCATTATATAGGAAAAACAGCTATACCATTCTTCTTTGAGTCAGGAGCCGCACACGTGAGGGACGGTCACTCTCATTGCAAAACAAGGGATGTTGTTATCGTTGTATCCCTTGAGTATCACCTGACGTGCCAGTAAGAAAGATCACTATCAATTTCTATACAATATGCGCTATGTTACAACAATCTTTCTTGCGAAAAAGTGCTTGTGATACCATAATTGAATGAACTAGTTCCTTGAGTAACTAGGACGAGAAGATCTTAATAGCTTCCTCGAACAACTTTCTAACTTAAGAACACAGACTCAACGTGCATAGAAATTTAAAAACAATACAGCGCCAAACAACAACATAAATTTTTATATATCTTTACATATTTACTAAGAGTGTAAGAAACATTGTAAGCTTACATATCCCACTTCCACTAACAATGTAATTCTCCCTTTCTAGGTCCTCAACATTAAGCATTGAACTCAAACAATGTCTGCGTAAATGCTAAGGACATGACCATTTTAAGGTTATAGGGATTTATTATTTTTTGTAACGTTGCGATTCTCGTTTCTTGAATTTTAGCCAAACTTTGGAGGTCTAACGTCCAGGAACGTGTACGTCACTTGACAATAAATAAATTACAGTTGGTATATTTTACCAGATATAAAATCAATTCTGTATTAACGTTTTACCAGGAATTACTTACTCATCGCTTGCTGGTTCTTTAAAAGACTAAAAAACAACAAGATATTCATTCTTAGATGCTACTTTGCACAGTGTAAACCTGACATTTGCTACTTTGCACAGTGTAAAACCTCCTTTTTTTCACACCTAAGGTATTTTTGATTAGATAGGTAATTTTAATCCTGCCTGAAAGAATTTCAGGGCCCGGTATGCCCAGGTGGTTAGGGCGCTCGACTCGAAATCTGCAGGTCGCGGGTTCGAATCCCCGTCACACCAAACATGCCCGCCCTTTCAGCCGTGAGGGCGTTATAATGTGACAGTCAATCCCACTATTCGTTGGTAAAAGAGTAGCCCAAGAGTTGGCGGTGGGTGGTGATGACTAGCTGCCTTCTCTCTGGTCTTACACTGCTAAATTAGGGACGGCTAGAGCAGATAACAAAGAATTTCAAGTGCTGCGGCTATTTAGGATTCCCTCTTGTCAACGGATATTGTGACAACTAAAAAAAAATCATAATATGGTAAACATAGAACATTTTTTTATTATGTTCGGCGAATCTGGTTCCCAGTTTTCTTTCGGTTTCTCCGATGTAGGACTCTGGGCAGTTATTATACATAGCTTTAT